TTTACAATCTTAATGCTGGCATCTCTTGCATCCACTTCACATACATATATCAACATAATTCAATGACCCTATGGATGACGTGATGGCTCTTTCCATGTACTTCGTACTACTTCTTCGATGTGACTTCCAGGGAGACGTGAAAATTCCGCCCCAGCTCTTCGTTGCACAATGTGCTGTAATTTCCAAGCATTTCTTTCACCGTTATGCGATACACATTCCAGTACCAATGTACCCAGCAGAATGGCTACCAACAGGGGGCGAGCTTCATTGTCATCACGATATTCTAAAATTAAAATAATGTAATTATTTAATGATTGGTTTGGATTGGTTTCAGTTCATGCATGGGTGTGTTCACGCATATCCTTAACACAAAGACAATACATCGCGACGTAGAAATGCATAACAAAGTACGTACTCATCAGAGAAATAATAGCTTACAAGATTCCTCCAGTACATGATCGGCTTTTCCAGCAAGGTGTGGTATACATCATACCGCCCAGAAGTTTTCTCATGTCACAACATCTGCACCTATTTAACGCAGGAATCCTACCAGATTTTCAGTTGTAATTTGAGTGGCATCCGTGTTAATCCTAGAAATACACAGTGGGTGAGTAGGCCTATTTGGGTTCTAACTTGTGCTTGACTGTTCACCCATTGTAACCACATGGTTCCATTACCAGAGTAATATTTGTGAATTTGTATAAAAACTAACCAGGTCTATTTATCATAACGAATATGTGTATGAGTATCGGACAAGGATGCAGTTCACGTATAGGGGAATATAATTTCTGTTTTTGAGTGAGTCTTGATTAAAACCAGAATGGAGAAATATGTTATGATGGCATGGATAAAACTAGATACCATGAATTTAAAGGTATCTCAAAGCAGTATCATACATTCGGCTAGAAGAACTATACAACTACCGTAACGCAAAATATAATGCCAAACATACTATAGATACAAACTTAGAGATTGTGATGTCTACTAATGTCATTCATTCTGAAATGTATTCCCCGCTTCATGTAATGTACCGTTTACTGTTACGAATGTATGTACTATAACTTATTTTGTGTTCACTTACATGCAGTGTATTTGTTTAACGCAGATTCATACAAAGACACAACAGAATACTAAAGCGTGTGTCCATTCCGAATCATGCAATCATCAATTTATTTGGCTTAGTGACTCTGAGCGTGTCTGTGCATTTGGTGATTCTTAGAGAACTATTTACTGAATAATGTCGGTTATTTTTTGTAACTTTATTATGTGTTTGTTTCCTATTTTAAATGTGATATACTAATGTACTTACTAGTTATGTTGTGTTGGAAGTGAATACTTCTTCTGTGTATACTGCAGTGGGCACAAAGTGTATATTTCTAGAACGTGTTTTCAGTGAATGTTTTGCATATGCGATTAGTATGACTACATATATATTTTTAGTTTTGCGTTGACATGTTGGAAGAATTTTACTGGTATAATATTTTCACCCAAAATAATTCGCAACCTAAAGATGAAAATATATAATTTTAAATGCTATTGGAAAATAACATTTATTGCAAAAAACAATAAACAACAAATCAATATGAGGCGAATGTCTCGCAAATATAATGTGCATGTTGATGTATTCATGGAACAAATTAATTATTTTGACCAATTATGGCAGGGATTATATGAACTGCTATGAATAATATTCATATGATAGTGTTTACTACACTTTCTTGAAAACAGCCACTGGGTCAGATACCCCTTGACAGCAATTTACTTAATACAATGTGTCAAGGGCTTCGACGTTATATAAATTTGTTTGTTCTGGATAACTTCAAAATTGTAATGAGTTGATGCAGTGGTCACCGGCTCTTCGACCGTTTGGCAGTAGCTTGCACAGAGCTCATAACAGACATGTGAAACCTTCTCTGGTGTAGCTCCACCCTAAAGATAAAACATCTCTAAATAGCTAGCAGCCCATAGCAACCAATTCAAATTCACATATATACGCATGTTACCTATACAGCACAGTGTTGACAAATAATAGTTTTAGTAGTTATAATGGTTCAACCATTTATTGTCCACATGCTATTTTTTTCCGCATTGCTGCTGTACATTGTGGGGTTGTTTTGTTGTTGTGATAGTTTATGCACGGCTTTACCTAGACGTCATTTATGTCTTTAGATATAGTTAGTTTGTGAAGTCAACTGAGGGCGCTATTTATAGCTGATTCTTACTGCCTATGTTTGTAGTTCAATGAGTGATTATAGCATTGAAATTAAACAATGATAGACTCAATGTGAACAATATGTAATATATGATAGCTAGCATTTGTCTAAGACTGACCACGTGTAGTCTATATTCAAGCAATATAAATATTGCTGGTTTACTTGATTAGTATTAAAAATTCTTCTCCAGCCAACTATATCTTCCTATAAAACTCATTTGCTCTAAGCATCTCATTCTCAATATGAATGTTGTACAATTGAATCATTATTTATACCACTTACTCACAAAATTCTTACTGACAGGATACTATTTTATTTCAACATTAAAACCTTCCACTTGGTATTATCACATGAAGGTTTGTCTAAAGTCTGAAAATTTATAACTGAATGGTGAAGTAGATAATTACATCATTCTCTCATAAAAATTAGTACCTTATATGTTCATATTTTTATTGGAAAACATTATGTCAGTTGAAAAATGTTGTACGGTAGTTACAGTAATTTTGTTTCGTATGCCTTTTTATTTGCTTCAATCTGGCAATTACACGAGAGGCATTTTAACTTTGTTAACAATAATAACATTTATTTATTTGATAACGAACAATATTATCTGGGTACAATGTTTAGATTATAGCTTTGACTATTTTCCTCCCAGGTACATAATATTCATATTTGACATGTGCTTATATTATTAGTAAGCATATTTCAGTAACAATGAACGGTGAATTTCTGAATGTTACTGTGAAAAATTTGATATCATTTTTTTATTCATGATTTGTGTCCCAAATTTTTGAGCAGTTTACTAGTACACTTTGTCTGAGGTGGGAAGGACATCAACTTGAGATCTGTTCTAATTTCTCAAAACGTTCACATGATATATCTGCATGTGAAATGTGTATATATTTTCTGACTGATGTATTTATTACTCAAAGATCAATGACATAATACTAATTTAAAAACTTACCGACATGTAAAACAAACAAGATAGATTAATACAAAACAATCAAGTAAAACATGTTTAATATTAAAACATTTTCTCTTGAGTAAAATATAAAAGAATATCAATAATTCTATTCTGTCGAATATTAGAATCAAAAGTCAACATAACGCATGGGATTGGTTATTTTTGTCCTGCTCCAAATATATCAATATTTTTAACCACCTGCTCGATATGGGCTCGATTCACTACATAAAATAGGACGGGTGCAAAACTAATTTAAAATAAAAAAAAGGAAATACATCTGGAAACTATGCTGCAATAAAAAGTTTGCAAAAGATTGATAGATATGAGTACCGTAAAAATATTCTAAAATGCTGTGCTGAGCATGCACAATATACTCCATGACTGTGGACTAGCATAAACACCAAATACAGCAATATTTATGTTGACTATAAACGTAGACGACGTATAGATTCCAATAATGGGGACACCTGAAAATACAATGCAAGTATGTTTGATAGATTCTGATATATTTTTGCAATATACAATGTTGAACAGCAATTTTCTACCAGAACTTGTTATGATCTTCATGATATATTCAAATACATGAAATGTTTTACTGTCATCGATAATCAATCAATCTTAAGCTTATTAATGTGTTCAAATGAATGATTATTAAACGCAATATAACATACAGCACTATCAATTATCCTACACTGTTTATAATTTAAACTTTTCTGACATAAGCATTTGACATAGTATTTAGGAAACCAACTGTAGTTTCCTTTCATAAAACCCATTAATGAATGTTTAATGTTCTTATCGCTCCCCAAATGACCTTCGAGTATAGTCGATGCACAGTAAACCAATTTCTGTCGAAAATTAACGATAGAATTGTAGCACAATATTTTACTCACCTATATCATAAGGTTTTCATACGTAACAAATTGATCTAGATACTTAAGTATGGCGTCGTAGCAGTATGTGTATTGTGCCTATTTTGGAAAAATGTGACAAAATAGTGTCACAATCGGAAACAAAAATGCCAGGATATCCATGCCTTACTGAAAATCACAGTAATGTGATAACATCATAAAATAATGCATTTAAATCTTCAAAACCATACCTAAAGCGGTAGGATCGTCACCTGCGCACGCGCGGGACTTGAGTCCCAAGCGATGATAACAATACACACTAAAAACGCAAAGGCTCATGGGTAGACGCTTGTTTGTAAAATATGGCCTTCTGACGCTTGCGCAGCTTCAATATACCGACCCTTTTTTCAGCGTAAAAACGCTTTACTTACTAATGACTCCACCATGCCAGGACGGTTGAGTCGTAACGTCTTTACAGCTTGGAATATATCGACAATTTGTTCTCTTCTAATCTTATCACTCACAGCAACCATAGTACAAAATATACCGGTTCTGCCTATTCCATTACTGAATAGGAGAAATGCATATACACATTGTGTCAATATATATGCTGCCCCAGTGTCTCAGCAAATATCTAAAAGCCATTCCACATGCCATAGATAATAAAGTATATTTTAATATTTTCAAGATTATTGTTTTTATTAAGTAGAAGTGGTATATTGTATATTAACTTTGTTTGGTATTGCTGTTCACAGAGAAACAGTGAAATTCTAAATGTTATCAAATATTAATTAAAAAATATGTTTCTGAGAGGCAAGAGCGTTAAATACGCGCATGAATACGTAACATACGTATTTGATTTGTCTACAATAGACAACATTTTATTAGGGTTAGTCGAAAAGAGTCATTATGCTCTGAGAAAAACAAATAGTGGCGGTTGATAGTATATAGTAAATTACCTCTCTGAACTCACCTGCAATGTACAATTACCGGTACGACGTCCGATTGATTTTTTTTCACCATCGCCATTACGTCTGTCATTGCATTCAATGAGATAGGAGTATCATGGTTATTGGGCCAGTTGATTGCTTGAAACTGAGTGATGAAGCGAGAGTTGTCAATTCCCTAGTACAAATAAAACTATGATGTATTAATTTGCAAAAATACAAGTTAATAAATTTGATGTTTAGTGTC